TGTGATAAGCATCCTAACAGCAGCATGAAGGTTGGACAGTGCCATGGTGATGGTGACCATCCAAGTGGTCTCATGTACTGTGGGCTGACACTGCTGCAGACAGAACCTCCACCTAACACTGTGCCACAGAAAGCAGCAGAAATGGGGCCATGCGGGTTCAGCGTCAGGGCAGTGATAAATTATAAACCCTTGAGTACAAATGCCTGAGTGGCGCCTCAGACAAAAGCGAGCAGTGTCTCACTGGGGGGAGCGGGCTGTTACTGTGTGATGAGAACATAAACACCAGGAAAGACTCACAATATTTAAAAACCCTACGGAAGGGGGAGGGGTTCCCCCCTCTCTTTTTCTTTCCCATGGACTTCAGAGGCTGGGCAAAGCTTTCTGCTTCCCTTAAAGTGATTGTGCCTGGCAGAATAACAGCAAGAGCAAGGAGGATATCGGATTATTCACAGTGTTAGCACAGCCAAATCACAGCTTTTTGAAAATAAGACCCCCATTAGTGGCCACAATCCTGATCCAGCACCACTGAATCGCAAACCAGAGGAAAACTATCTGTATGCTTTGGATCTGCTTTCAGGAAACACCTGAATGCACCTTCAGTTTCTATTCAAGTCCCATTAAAGTCTTTATGACTTAAGCCTGCTTTTAAGCATTGACTTCAGATGAGACAGACTGGACTCTGCACAAGTTTGCTCCTACACACAGCAGTGGCAGCAGTTACAGACACAAACACGCCCTGAAGAAACCACAGGCTTGGTTTGCCACTAGAATGATCTCTAGAATCCCGCTTAAGAAATTACTGGGAAGTGCTGGCTCACTCCTTTCATATCTGCAGGAACAAGAGATGCACGTCTGCTTTTGTGCGTGGCAAAGATAGGATTTGCCTCCTGGAGACCCAGGCAATGCTGCTCCTGGCTTTGCAAAGGTGCTCGTTAGAAGGAAGATCCTGAGACAAGAGAAGTGTGTTGATCCCATATGCAGGGAAGGGAGCAGGAAAGCTGCTCTTTTCAAGAACAAGCCCCAAGTGTAGCAGTGTTTGTTATTTGATAGCTGCAACTGCTGATTCCAGCTTTGCACCCCAGGCCCTGTTGGAAAATCATCATCTCAAAAGATATCCCCTCGCTCACTAACAAAGCATAAAAGATTAATTTCCTCTTCCAGTAGGAGAAGAGAAGAGCAAACAGGCTCCTCTAAAGAAAGTTTCAAGCAGAGCAAGACTGCAGGAGAACCAGGGTGTGCATGAGCAACTTGTGTGCCTTGCCCATAAAAGCTAAATCCTCATCTTTATGCTGTGAGTACAAGCAGTGCAATGCAAAGAGGCTAATGCCCTTCCATACATGCAGAACCGAAAGGCACTGGTGCAACCTCCTCTTGAAATCACCCAGTAACCTGAGAAACCGTTTGATAATTCAGAGATTGCCATATCATTGCAGCTAGTGCAAATCCATGAGACCTCTTCATCCAAAAGACGTGGGAAATTGGGTCTTTATGCCAGAAGTATAGCACCTATTTTCACTGTTTTCAAGTTTTCCCATGAGTTGGGAAATCATAATTTAATTGGTTTTAAGAGATTGTTTACCTCTGAATGTCCGTAATTAAAAATGGTATAAAACTTATACTGCAGCTGCAAGGCTACCCTCTCCTCCAGCTTCTGCAGGCAGGTTTTTAAAGCAGCAAATAATGGGTAAGGAGAGAAGAGAAGCTGAGGAGGAGGCAGCAAAAGCCTGCCCCATCAGCTGTCAGATGTGGCATAAGTATCTTCTACGTGCTTCTCCTCATCCCAGGTCCCACCTGCATTGAGCCATGCTGGGAATGCAAAGAGACATCATCTAAACAGGCAGTGGTTTGTGGGAAAGATGCTGCCATAAAAATAAATATGGAAAACAAAGATAGCTCTTTGGCTTCAGGAGCCAGCAATTCCTAATGTGGCTGAAAACCATGCAAAAACCTCATAATTTCCATGGCTACCACAGCTGTCCCATCAACGGTGCTCAGGTAGAGGTCATCCTTCCTGCCCTCCCTTGTACTTTGGTCTCTTGTTCACTTTGATTGCACCACCATTGTCATTTCTCAGACCGGTTTGTGACACTTTCCTACGAAGACTGACCATGAAGACCACATTTTGGCCAGATAGGAAGGGAAACCGAATGTCTTACTTCACTCCTGGGGAGGAGATCCTTGTCTCTGCTATGTCAAGACATGGAAAGGGATCAACTCTCTCAAGTGATTTGGGCCAGGCAGAAAAGTACATGAGAGTTTCACAGGGGCTTGGAAGCTGGCATGGTGTGTTTGTGAAGCTGTGGGCTTGACAGCGTGGTGGGACAGAGTTGAAGCAGGAATGTTATGTGCAGCAGGTGAGCATGGGACTCAGGAACAAGCCAAGCTAGAAAATACTGAAACATGAACAGCTCAGGCCTACGGCTTGCAGGAAAAAGGTATTTAACAACCTCCAGATTACAACTATTTTAATTTCAGATTTTCTTCCAAGCAGCCAACCTGCTCAGAGAAGTTCTGACACCTTTGTAAGTGACTCAGCACTTATTCTGTTGGTGACACTGGCTAAGAGGCAAAGATGTAAACTGGGGGTAGACCCTAATAGAAAGGCTGCATTATACATGCTGGCAAAAGAGGCAGAGGATCTGGGATGTTACTACGACATATTTGTTCTTCCCCATTTTGTACACCACTTCCTTTGCACCTACCAGGCAAACATATTTTGGGAATGGGTAGGTTATTAGTTCCTCATTAAAAGTACTTTAATGCAGACAAATGGATGCAAAGCAGCCTGAGAAAACAGTACAGAGGAGACATAGACCTCACAAAACCCATTCACTGGCCACATTTATAGGTTGACAGAGGAGGAATAATTACAATACTGAACAGAGAACATTTTAGGATAAAGCATGATAAATGTCAGATTTGTTACTTATTGCTGCATGTCTGGTATATGTTATTTTAAGAATAAAGACCATGTGACACCAAGTCTATCTGAATGCAGGTAACTTGAGATTTAAACAAGTGTCATCTATCTGAGAGAATTCTGAAGGAGCTACAGAAGGCCACAAAAGCAGAAAAGAATGGGGAATGAGGAGATTCACATTTTGTTTACAGTGCCAGGTCTGAGAATATCAAATGTTTTAAAATAACTCTTTTTTTTTTTTGTCCTTTTTCCCTGTCCTGCGCAGCTGCTCTGTAAGAAGTGCTCTGAAACAGCCACAGATCAAAAATGGCATCTTTCTTTCATCATGTTCAGATAATATTTCTATCTACTGCCTCTTGAAAATAACCATCAAAACAAATTTTCAAATGGCTTTTCCATTTCGGGTGATTTTCTGTAAGAGGGGTCTGCTTTTGAAGGAAGTGGAAAATGTAAATACTTTTATAATTTTGCTTATCAAGAGGAGTAAACCATTGAGAGTATCTGTGGCGGCTTGGTGCAGGAGGGACCTCCCATATCCCATCTTCCTGCTTGCAGAAGGAGGGGAAGGCTCTGCTTTCAGCACTACCTAAATTCATCTCCTCACCCATGTGCAGGGAGACGAAGGGATCTACTGATGCCAGCTCTGAGCTGGCATCTCCAAACTGAACAGTCTGATTTTCTTTTCACTGGAAAGTCTATGTGTTTTGCATGGGAAAAATGCAAATTTGTTTTAGCTAGGAACATGGGGACAGTAGCTCCTTGTTGCTTTCACAGACACTTATTCAGGCACGTGAAATAGGCATATTCATCCACATTCAATTTTACATCCCCACATTCTCTTCCTTTCTTGGTAGCTGCATGAATCCCATCAGGCTTTCAAGACAACTGTCAATTTGGCCAGGTTTGATTTTTTTTCCCTTGTACTACCACAAGTAACTATTTCTGGCAGTACTGTCAGAAGGAGGGGGCTGCTGAGAGCACCTGCTTTAAGTTTGCTCTTTACTTTGAGAAAGCCAGACAAATAAACAGCTCTATAAGGAGACTTCAGGAGTCTTCCCCCTCCTCCTGTCAGTTCTGTGGGGCACTGTACTACCTGTCTTTGTCCTGGAGGGACAGTCACATCTGCATTTATCTCTCACATCTGCATTTCTATCACTGGCGAGACAGGTTACCTTTCAAGCAAAACCGAATTTCCGTATGTTTTGTCAGTGACATGCCTAACTAAATCTTTCCTCATTTATATTCCCTGTTTCTCTCTGGATTTAGGAAACAGATAATTTTGGCTACTAAATATTAAGATCAATTTCTGCTCTCCGCAGCAGCCTGCCACCGTGGCCCCAGGGATATCCCAGCCCCTGGATATGGATACCCACTGCAATGCTCAGGGCTGTCCCTTAGCAACTCTGTGTGCCTCAACTCAGCTTCCTCAGAACCTTCATCTCCTACACCACCCATCTACCACAGCACCAGCAAGCTCAGGGTTAACAATTCAAACCCCAACTTTCTTGCATATTTGGCCTCATACAATCTTATCTTTCTGGTCCAGCATGACAGCAGCGCAAACACGATTTTTCACACTAGAGTTTTTACTGTACCACTGCTGCCAGTTAATAAACACATCTCCTGGATATTGCCAGAGACAACCTGAACCGTCACAACCCACCACGACCTTTGAATAGAGGCTCCCAAGTGGCATTATCAGGAATTAGAGCTGGCTGGAAATGACTTTTCAAAACTCAAGCATTTCATTTGAAACAAAACAAAACATCCCTTGGAAAAAAAATCCCAAAGCTATTTAAAACAAGACTTGCATTTTTTTTTTGCCTTCAGGAGAAAGCGTTTGCCCTCTGTGAGGGTTTCCATGGCTTCTCCCTTCAGTGACCCCATTGGAGAGGCAGCTGATAAAGGCAGCCCTGTTCTTGTAAGAGATGGGTGGAACACAGCACACATCTGATAGGTCTTGGCTTGGATGTCTTAATTAACACCAGATGTCCCTTTTACGGGAGAAAGAGTTGCTACAAAAAAACCAAATCCCTATCTGATGAGATGCTGGTGGTATTTCCTAGCAGCCAATGCTTACCTCCGTGCTGTGCATGTATCTCCAGCAGGCAGCTGGGACCAATCCGCAGAAGGCCAGAGCAAAACAGAAAAATCCCTGAGGATGAAGAGGGAAAATACCATCAGTTAAAGGATGGGGAAAAAAAAATACCCATCTGAAAACACCATCGGGATGCATTTAATACACTTGTTTGAAGAAGTTTAGTTAGAAATTAGAGCTAAACATCACTTTCTTTTAATATTCCTCATAATGCTGGTTACTTAAAGGAAATTAGACGGACAATAATGTGATTCTCCATCAGGAGCCTTCTAATTAACCTGTGGTCATTTGAAGAGGTTGACTAAAAAAGTACCCATCTTCCTGCAGAGCGGTTAACCTATTATGCCCAAATTCCCCTTGGAAAGATTAAAAGAAAAGGAGAGACAAATACTATAGTTACAGTATGTTCCTCTTCTGCAGAAGGACCGTACTCCAGAATAGCATCTTCTTACTCACAGGATTGAATCCCCAGTGTTTAAAACCTGGCTACCCATTTCAAAGGAGGAAAACCTACACAGATAGTCCATGAAGAAACAAGTACTCTTCCTTAAACCAGCACCGTCCTAGTCAGACAAAAGAATGACAGAAATATAATCAAGGCTAGCAACTGACCTTGAAGAGTCGAAACAACAACGGAAATGATAGAGGAGGTGGCCTGGCTTTTGTCTTCTTCCCTAGGCTTGCAGAGCTGGAAGTTATGTGCATTGTCTCTTTATCTGAAAAAATGTGGTCCAAAAACACCCCCACCCTGATGTAAACAGCCCTTGCCTGTTGTGACAGCTGCACCAGAGGATCTCATTCACATTTAAAAATAATGGAGAAAAAGAGTGCTTGTAAAGCATTTGAAGGCCAAATGGGCTCATCAAATATGAATCCAGAGCTTAGTCTTGGAATGGCAAAAGATGACGAATAAGCACCAGTCAAAATTATTGTCCTTACAAGTTTTTCCATGAAACTGTCCCTCTTCCAACACAAAGTTATGAAGTTATGTAGCAGGGAAAAATTACCCAGCTGACTACAGATTATTTTAGTTTCTATTTTTTTTCCTATGAGTTTTTTAATAGTATGATTTCAAAAAGATTAAATCTTTCATGAAAGTTTACCAAATTCAAGCTTAAGGAGAGGAAGAAGAACATTGCTGCTGCCAATCCTGTTTCAACAAAAACCTTTTGCTTAAAAAGTGTGGTTAAAAAAACCCAAACAAACTCCAATAACTCTCAAAACTCCCAAATTCCTCCATATGCAGCACAAAAGGAAAATGTATTAGATCAAATCCTGGAAATGAATAAGAACATGCCAGTAAATTGCCTTTTGCTGGTTCTTGTCCATGAGCTGCCTGCTGCATTTCTCTGCTTGGGAGGACAATGCCCTGCCCAGGGACTTTGCTCCAGCAACAAGACTGCCATTGGCATTACTCCACTTCTTTGTGGCTGCCTTGTTTCAGGCTCTGCATCAAACGCCGGGGGAAACCCTGGAACTGCTCTTAAGAAAAGCTTAAATTATGTATGTCCAGTCTCTCCTTTTAATTTTTGGCAGCTGCCTGGCCATATAGGTGGTGAGATCACTCGCTGCCTTGCCAGGAGCTGAGATGGGATAACACAAGACTCCAAAGGAGATGAAAGTCTGATCGAACACTGACATGACAAGGGGGATACAAGTAGTGAAGATGGGGAAGAGCATGCAGGGTGAGATGGCATGGACCAAAGCACGTCACAACCAAGCCCAAACCCAGCCAAGGTAGGTGGTTTAACCTCTGAAGGTACAGCACAAACGGAATGGAGGAGGTGAGATTACATGAGCATTTCAGGTTTGCTCCTCACTAGGACCAGACTCTGCATTTTGCACCTCTTCCTGCAATCTCACCCCAAACAAAAGGCATAACAAAGTCAATGTTTTCACCAAAATCAAGCTCAAAACCAAACCAAACCAAACCAAACCAAAAAAAAAAAAAAGAGAGAAAACAATAGCAGAAAAAAAGGAGCACTGACAGCAATATGAAAGCTGTTACACACATCATTCCAGTAAGGGTTTAATTGAGGGGACCCACCATGAACCTCGAGACTGAGAACAGTGTGTCAGTGGCACCACCCAGTTTTCTGCCCATGCTTTCCCTTCCTTCCCCCATCAGCACTTACAACTCTCTGGGGCCAGAAACCCCAGCAGATTAAAATCTCTCTTCTCATCTTCCCTTCCTCAGCTCCACCCCACACCTCAGCCCTTCACCTCCAGCATCAGCTCTCCCTTTATTTCTGTTTAGCTTCTCTGGGAATACCAAGAGGCGGCCCCTTGGGAAGCTCCTGCTCCAACCAGCCAGTGCAGAACAATTACATGTCTCCAAGAACATCTCATAAATGAATTATAGGCTGCTTTTTCTCCTCCCAGCATAAAGGCTTTCGTAAAAGCAACTTTCTAATTACATTAGAAGACATTCAAAAGAAAAAAGAAAAAGGCATCGCAATGTTTGCATACAAAATGTGGAAGGTTCAAGGCTGGTTCACCATCTCCCTGACCCTTGGAGCTCCTTGGAGCTGGCTGCAGACTGCTGCTTGTTCCCTTTGCAGGAGGCAGCCACATCAGCCCTGTGGAGGGCTGTCGCCAGCCAGACATCAATTACTCTTTTATGAATGACCTTGTTTCCATCCTTGCTACAAGGAACAATTTGTCTTTGAGAGACTTGACAGAATGCACAGCCTGCTCTGTTGGCTGGTGTATCTTTTAATTCACCTTTCTGGTGCTGCCCCGACACTTAAGGGGGTCCCTTAGCTCAGACTGGGTTCAGCAGCTCTACCAAACCCCTGCACTCCCAGGGAAGGAGCCGACCTGTGTTCTGTTCAGCTCCAGCTGCTGTGGCCACTGCAAGGGCCAGCTCCCTGCCAGACTTCACAGCCCAGGGTCAAGGAAGATGGAAGCTAATTTCAGATTGCACCCATCCAGTTGTATCCCTCTCTTCCTGACCCAGTTCACCTAAGAACACACACTGGTTTTGCCTTTCCATGCAGCAAACATGAGACAGTGATCCCAGTCCAAAAGAGGAATCTGTTTTTGGCTCCAGCTAGACACATTGGCTCTGCCTATGCCTGTTTCCACTGGATCACGGGATGCCTTGCTTGGGAGTGCTGAACCAAGAGGGGGTGCACAGGAGACATATTCATTGTGCAAGCAAGATGCTGAAGTGAGCTGCCGTGTTGTTAAGGACTCAGCACACTTGTCTGCAATGATACACCTGGGCACATTAAAGCAAACAGCCTGTGCTCTGTGCTGGCCCTACTGACATCATTCTGGGTGAAAAATTCAGCTATATCAGGCATTCATTAAGGCCTTTTTGCCACAGAAATTATTTGGACCTGGTACTTGGAATAGCTACTCCATCCTGAACATAAATTTTGCTGTACAGAGGGGGTTTTAGGCTGGAAAGTTGAGGTATAAGAATTTTACCTGGGACGTTCTAGTTGCTCCCTGTTTGTTTTTGTTTTTTTTTATCTCCCCTATTTCCATCTGACCAGGCAACAGCACACTGTGCCTTAAACCCCACTGGAGCCAGAGTCTTTTTCTTTGTACAAGCAGTACTAGCAAAACTGCAGTTTTCCTTCCTTCTCCTCCCCTTCAATAGCGACATGGCCTTCAGGGGCCCTGAGAGCTGCAGGATGTTTACATTCAGGACTGACTGCATGATGGACCATGGATCACCAAACAGCAGGGTTTGCCAGAACTTGAGGACAGTCAATAAGCCTGTCACCACTCTCCCTAAGAGGAGCTTTAGCGATAATATGCAGGTTTTAGAATATCATTTTTACCCTTAAGTTCTCAGTTACTCTCTAGAAACCTCACAAGCATCAGTGAATGCGCAGTACCGTCTGTCTGGTCTGTTGGTGCTGCTAATGCAGCAGCAAGACAAGCTCCTAAAATATGAGTGCTTTACTCAGTTTGACCTGTTCTGGTTTCCAACCACTGCGCACCCACTGTTGTTATTAGGACAGCACCATTAAGGCCTGCAAAGACTGAGGCCCCTCCTTTGCATATACACAAGCCTTCAGATAGCCAGGCAGGGGGAGCATTTATAATTTAAACAGAAGGAAAATAAAAAAAGGCCAGTAGGGAAATCGAGACACGAGGAGGTGGGATCAACCCAACAGGTCAGTGACCAGGGCAATGCTCCTCTAAGCCCATTTGCGTCCTTGCTGGTGTCTCCCCAGGGTAGCTGGTTTACCAAGTGGCATTGTGGTGGATTACCCACAGCTATGCAGACTTCTCCAGAGCACAGCTTGGTTTCCTATACAGCCACAGATGTCAAGTACCCATACACTGGTGTCTCCCCTCTTTGATTAAAGACTGAATTAAATGGTCTTCTGTACAAGATACACACAGGAGAGGGAAAATCCTTTACAACCAATAGTGGGGGAAGGTTAAAAATCCTATTAACAAGCGGGAAAAAAGCTACAAGCTGGGGGTGGCGATCACTTCTGTGAGCTACAGCCCAGCGGGGATCAGCAGGGCAGGCTGTGACACCAGCAGCAAGTTTCAGAGCCCCACAAGGCTGAACCCCAATCCTACCTGCGATTACATCTCACCACAGCCATCGTGCTGGCTCTCCCTGCCTGCCTGCCTTGCTCCCAGATCAGAGATTAAACACGAGCCTTGGGAGGGGGTAGGATCTTGTGGGAAAACGAGCAATGGGCTGGCCCTTGCTGTAAGACAATGGCAGTACACGGCTTGCAAATGAAAGGAATAAGCAAAGTTCCCCTATTTACGATGCTGATGAGCTGTTTGAACAGAGGAGCACAGAATAACGTTGCTGGTGACATGGTATTTCCCAGGTCCCCAGCTAACTTCTGGAGAGCTGGGGACATTCTGCCACCGCCGCACTGGCTGCAGCAACCCTTCCCCCTGCGTTTCCCCGCCACCTTCAGGTGCCAAGCGCGGGGCAGGGACAGCGGAGCTCAGCGGGGCCACGGCCCCCTCCAGCGGCGGAGCCGGAGCTGCAGCCGCAGCCGGGCCAGCAGCTCCCGGGAAACGCGGCGGTGGAGAAGCCTCTGGCACCGCTGCCCTGGCACCGGGCCTTGCATCTTCACACGCAGTGGGGACCCTCACGCTGTCGGAGACGGCTGAAACGGAGCTTAAAAGCAACCAAGGGGCACCCCATTATCCCCTGCTGAGGGCAGAGTGGGATGCTTCATTGCCACGGCCGCGGGAAAGCACTTTGCACTTTCCTCCTCTTCCCACAAGGCAATGATGTCGTGTCCTCACTGCAATGGTATCATCATCAGACATCCAAAATGAAGACAGCCAACTCTCCTAAAGGATGCAAAATGTGCACGCTAAAGCAAAGTGAACAGGATATGCCAGGAAGTACAAAAGTAAATGGCTAGGTTGGCGGTTCTGCCAGCCGGAGGTTTCTTGGCTGTGTTACACCAAACCAGCCAGTCTGGGGGATTTGGTGGGTGTCTGGAGCAAAGGACGTTTGGGTCCTCGTCCCCATGGCAGGGGGAAGGGAAAGCAGCATCAGGTGCCCCCAAGAGGACAGCAACTGTGAAGTTTGCTGCCATGTTTTAATTTAACTGTTCAGGAAACAGCTATAACTTTAACAGCATGTTTTACCTAGTGGCATGTCCCAAACCATACCACGCAGAGAGTAAGGCAAGCAAATAAACATTATAGAGAAGTTCAACTGTATTTTCTGGCAGCTGTGACAATCTTCACTGGCCCTTGCATACTCATCTGTTGTTTTAGATGTGGTAATTGCAGGCAGACGTTAAAGTATGAGTCAGCAAAACAGAGGGAAATTATATATACTCTGCTAGCCATATTCATGGGAACTGTGTCACTCAGGCCCCTCTGAACACCTCAAACAGAGAAAGGAAGACTGCATATTGAGAAGGTGAGAACATTAACTTCAGTAGCTGCCTTGCACCAAGTTTTAAGGTGTCAACTTTTCATTTCTTCCATCAGTATAATTTTTCCCAATTACATAAAGTAAATCTCTCCAAAGCTAGTTTATGTATGACAGCAGTGCAATTATATTAAGTATGGCTTCACGCACAGCAACCTACCTGTTAACTCCTGCCCTTCACACAGCATGGGCAAACATGCAGTGATCAGTGCTTTTCTGCTCATCCCTCCAGCCCCGAAGCTGGAAGCTGCTCCATTCAGACCAAGCCCTGTGTGCAAGCTGTGTTTTTAAATGGAGCTGAGCTCACTAATCCTGGCATGGTCCAGGCCCAAACGGGCACTCTGTGGATGATGGGGAAGAGAAAGGTGCCATTTCAGTTCTTTTGGTACCCCTCCACCTTCTCCTTTGAGGCTGAAACTGAGGGTCCAGCCCAAAGCCCCTGTGCCTGCTGCCATGCCTTGTATGCCTCGCACCACTCACTGGTGGAGGGAGGAAGGAAGGGAAGCTGACTTTGATGTCACAAGTCAGAGGAACAACTTGGTACTCAAAATGACATTGTTAAGGTTTCCCCACACAAGCCATGTGTTGACTTGTTGAGAAAGAAAATACAGTGGGAATCATCATCACTACAATTGCTTTGGCAGAGAAGCACCTGCCTGTGACCCTGCTCTGAAAGCCACATACAGGCATCTTGGCAAAAGAAATAAGGAGCAGAAGGATGCAATCCTCAGCTGGAAGAGGTCATGCCTTTTACAAAAAAGTGCCCTTGCAGCACAGGGTGGAGCAATAGGATGTCCTTCCCCAGGCGTGCACGCTCCCTGGCAGAGCCCCATTTTAAACCCCTACATTTTAACAGTACCACCCAAGGTTACAAAAGGACCCACTTGATACGCACCATGGCAGTGAGGCTCTGCGATTCCCGCACCATGGCGACAGAGCCCAGCAGGGCTGCGAGGATCAGGGTCATGCTGATGCAGATCCCAAAGTAGAAAGCTGGAAGGAAGTCAGACATGGGAGCTGTGGTCAGACACAAAGACTTCAGGGCTAACAGAGACCTGGTCTGATGCTTTCACCCAAGGAGGGAGCAGAAAGTGAATGTTGGGGAGCTGGTCCAAGGGGACCAGGCTGCAGAACTGGAATGTTTTCTGATTTATTCAGTGCCCCCCATCTGTGTGTGCTGTAGTTGCCTAGCAGGGCTGCAAACCCCTGAGCAGTTCCCACAGCTTCAGCAGAGGGAAGCACCCTAAAAGGGTGTTGGTCCACCCAACAGACCACGAGCTGTCAATTATTTCAGAACCCTGATAAGGATCCCCTGAATGCGGGGTGCTGCTGCGCAGCAGCTGTCCCATGAACTCTATCAGGACTTTGTGTGCTGCTAATCTGGTGCAACACTTGCCCTCCAGTTTCCTCCCTGCTAAGGCAGGGTCACAGCTGGTACCCCAGGGGCCACAGCACGGAAAAGGGCTTTGCAACCCTTACTCAGAGCTAACTGCAAAGAGTTAGTGCTTGCAAGTAAAACAAGTGGAAGCATTGCTGCAGAGGGGTAGCTGGGAAGGGAGAACCTTCGAGGCTGCGTTAAGTGCCAGTCTATATAATCTGCTATGTGTAGGAAAGGGGGAAGGCTATACCTAAGCTTTGGGCTAACATTGTTTTTATCCCTGCTGTGTTAAACTGAAATTGAAAACCACGGTCTAGAGAGGGTATATGCCCATATATGTTTAAGCCCACAGTACAGCTTGGGAAAAGAAGCAGATGCAAGTGCAGCAGAGATGAGCAGGGTATTGTAGCATCTGAGCTGTTCTCATTTCTTTGCTCTAGCCTTGTATCCGAGACTCAATTCATATTTCTCCCTTCTGTAGGGAAAAGCCCCAACATTTCCTCAAAGAAACAGGTTTTCCCATGTGTTTCGGCTCCCAGCTTCAATTTTCAGCGCTACTTCAACTCCTGTAAGAGTTCCCCTCCCCATGTCCCCAGGGCCCTTCCAGCCCCACAGTACCTTTAGGTCCATCTGTGGCTGAGCTCCCCCTGAGCTTTCACTGCAGCACAGGGGAAAGCTGGGGAGACAGCTAATAGAGGGACAGGAGCAAATGCAGCAGCACCTTTGGTGCCGGGCGTACAGAACTGATAAAGAAAAAAAGTGCTTGTGGGACTGTGTCAGCCCTGATGCATCCTCCAGAAGGCAGCCTCTGCCTCCTCCTGTGATACCTCTGCATTTCCTTAATCTGCCTTAGGGGATTTTTCAGCTCCCACGTTTACCAAAGGTCCTACTGGGATGTGACCGTGACATACCTGTGTGGTGGATGACTCTGTAAGAGTTGCTCTCCAGGGAGATGTCTCTGATGAGGGTGAAATGTGGCCCATAGTGGGTGACTGTGCTCAGCGTGGCAATGGACAACCCCAGCAGCTGGAAAAGAAGGTTTTTAGGAAAGGATTTACAAGGCATCAGTTCCTGCTGTGAGGTGTATCTGGATACTCCTGGGCTTCATGCAGATTCAGGAAGCCTGATCATCCAAATACCACTGCATGTACCCCAAAATACACACAATAGGACAAGCCTCAGACACTTAAACATACTAAAGCACATTTTATCTGTTGCATAATGAGTGCATGTGACACTGCACAGCCCACAGTCTCTTGGCCAGTGTCAATGACTGAAATTCCCACTATGTGAAGAAAACCCAGAGGATTGATGCTCTTGCAGCACACTTGTGCAGTCTCACCTGCTCTGCAGAGTATGCACGTGCAGTTATGAGGGCTGCCAGCTTCAATAGTGCTTTTGGGCAGGAGTGATGTTCTCTGCATTGCTCTTTGCAATGCTAGTCCCACTGCCTGCTGTTAGCTCTTATTTCCTATTGTAAAATATACAATATTTTGTATATACATATTTGTGTATTTGTAAAACATACCATATACTCAGCAAAAAGCTGAGTCTTGTAGTATTCTTAGGTAATCTGTGCTGGCTTTTGTCTCCACAATGTGGTGGTGGGCCACTCATGTTTCTGTCCCATCCCTGAAAGCACTGGCATGACTAAGGCACAGGGTAACCACCAGCATGTTACCCTTCGTGTTGCCTAGAGCCAGTCCAGGCAACAGAGAGGGAACATTTCTGATGCACCTGCCTTCTGATGGCACATGTGCCTTGCACCACAACTAGTGCAAGGAGGAGGAGGCACCAACAGCAGCATAGTTAAAAACACCTTCAACTTTATTGTAATGAATGTGGAAAATGCAAGATGTGAGGCCACTCCTAGCTCCTAAGATAAGCTTTCATTATTTTTTGCTTTTACAACATGAAAACACAAGGCAGCTATCCCTGTGTCAGATATGACAGTCCAGTGTCAACATAATCCCTTCTGTATGACATTTTCTAATAGCTTTTGCTGGAGACTTAGAGCTTTGGAGACTAAATAAATCCAAAATTTAGCATCTTCTCCTTATAAATACCTTAATTTTTGGCACCTAGTCATCCTCCATGCTGCGCATTACTGCATATCTCAGCCCACACCCAGCAAAATGCTAAGTGCAACACCGGTTAGCTTAGATATCCGAGAAACAGCACTCTAAAATCCTCCCAACAGCAACAATGTGATCCTAGCTATCCAGAGCAGCTGTGCCTTAATATCTCCTCTAAACATGCTTGGTAGCAATCCTCCTTTGATTTCCTCCAAATGACATATTTTTTATTTGGAAGAGAGAACAACGTATAGTCACTACAGCCAACAGATTTGAAACGTTGAAATTTGGACAAACTATACATTTCACGTATGGCCCAAAATAAACTATTACCTTTAAATTACACTCTTTCCAAGCCACCAACCCTCTTTGAACTAAATACAGATTATTTTTCTTCTTTAAGGTTTGTTATTATTTTTAAGCTTATTTTTTTTTTAAGCTTTTTGATGAAGTGAAAAGGCAACAAACACACACAACTCAACATCCAGGAGAAGCATTTCTCAGTTTCCACTATCTCACATCAGCTCTAACAGCAGATGTTGAGAAGCTCCCCTTGAACTTGCTTCAAAAGCTGATAAAAAGGATCCCTAGAATTGCTTTCACTTTGTGGTACAGACCCACAGACCTCTCACATATATATACCTCCATTGAAGCCTTGTGGTTTCATATCCCGGCCAATTCCACCTGCAGCTGACCATCCTCCCAGCAACAAGTGTGACTGCAGCAGGTCCATCCTCCCTCTTTTGCCCCAAGGAGACAGGAGCAAATACCTTTTTGCTGAAAACCACCCATTCTGCCAGCAGCAACCTTTGCTTTCTCCTTCAAGGTGGCCACAAGCTTGTGAAAGAGCTGCAGCAGCACGACAGTCCTGAGAAACCAGAAGTCTATCAGCAGGGGGGGGGCGATACTGGCGGCCAGTGATAACCGTGCAGGGCGCAACGATAACTCAGGCAGTTAGCTTTGCTTGCCCTCCACCCGTGAAAAACAGCATGGGAAAGCCTGACTCTCCCTGAGCAGGGACAGGAAAGGCAATGGTTCACCTCAGTTCTGCAGAGACCACCCCAAACCTGCCTGCTCACCATGACACAAAGGCTCGTCACCAGCAGCTGGCACTTGGTGATCTTCATCCCGCACCTCAGTCCCATGGCTGCTTGTCCCCAGAGAGAGCTGACAGTTGTCCCTCCAGCTCTTGATAAAGCCTGGGTTTCCCCAAAGGGAGGCATGGCCACAGCAGGGCCTCTCGGGAAGTGTAGTCCCCACCACGTGCTGCTGCACCTCCTCCTGCCCGACTATTAAATCCTGATTAGAGCAGCTGCCTTCTGCCTGGGCTTTTGGTGGGCTGCCATCAGCTCTGACATGTAGCCAGCTGGGGAAGGAGGAAAAGCATAAGAAAAATCAGCCTTTCATGGAGTTTGGGGCAATGTTTCTTGAAACAATTTCTGAAACTGTTGAGCTGTGAATCAGTATCGAAATGCTCCTTTTGCCACTGTCGCTTTTTTTTTTTTTAGTCTTCTTAAATACTATCTTGGGAAAAAGCTTAGGAAAACATTAGGGAAAAAAACCTCAACCCCAACCTGTTGTTTGAAAAAGAGATCAAAGCCCCCAAACAGGATCTGCATGAAAGTCTTCCCTCCATTTAGAAATCACCACATGGCAATAACCTTTGGCTGAGACCCTACTAAGATTTTTATTTGCAGATAATGGATAAAAATCCCCTTGGTAGCATTTTATTCGGGAAAATGGCTACACATAAATATAACCCCCTGCTCAGGAGACCTTCACTGTCCACAGACATTTTGACTCTGTTCTTTCCCCTCTTGTAGCACTGAAGAGCCCATTGAGCCACAGCTACAGCAGACTCAGGTGACTTCTGCTGTTCAAAACCAGCTACCTGCTGCATGCATATTTCCTGAAAGTAAACTGCAGAAAAGCCTCAAGAACAATCTGCCCAAAGGGAGGATTGATGACTGAATGTCTTAATCATCCTTACTTTCAGAGCTAGACAAGTGGAAAATAGTGGCACCCTCCCTACGTGGCAAAGAAAGGGGGAGAAAAAGTAAAACCATCCCACATCAGTAACTGTACCTACAGGAAAATGATATAGAAGGTGGTGGAGGGGAGTGAAAAAAGGAAGAAGATGCATTTTGAAGAGCAAATGGGAGCAAGAGAAAGTGTGTTGCACAAAACCATGTAAACAGGAAAAAGCATGTAATGATTTTCTGACTACATCGCTAGTTTTCCTGTAAGCTTTCTTGCAAAACATCTTGGTTACAACCTTCCGAGACAGCAATGAGAGCTGCCACAGATCTTTCCAAAATCAGGCGTCCCCCATGGCTCATGGGTCTCTACCCTGGTGGGGATCTCTGATGTGCAGCAGGAGATGCTGATGTACCCATGTACACATGGAGACCTTCCTCCTCCAGCCACCAGCTGGAAATCACCTGAGAAAGACCACCGGATGAACAGTGGGGAAGGAGAGCATTAGAGGGAGGACTACAGAGAGAGGGTAACAGGCTGGTGATGCAGCTGATGCCCATACACCCATGTCCAGAAGCAGGTCCCCTGGGGACAGACAAGGTGGGAAAGCGCCTTATAAAACATTGTGGTGGAGTCAGGACTGCGTCTGAACACAGAGCTGTTAGCACCCATCACTTCTTCTGGCACTATGGAATAGATGGTTGCCTTGTTACTTACCTGCATTTTCACGGGAAATAACCAGTGGTACAAAAGCAGCAGGGCTGGTCCACAGGTAGAGTTACAGGTTAAATCTGGAAGGGTTGCAAGAAGGTACAAAGCACAGCTCTGTGTGTAAACTCAGCTAGGGAAGCCCAGCCAAGAGCATGGTCAGCTAGAAGCGAGGGACAGCCTTGCCACCTACCGTGAATACACCTGGAGCCTGTTTCACAGCGAGTGACAAGAGAAAAACCTTACAGCCCATCTTCATTTCCCCCTACAACCCAGTTTTCCTAACCAGCCCTAAACGCATGCCACCGGGGAGGCCTGTGCAAAGCCGAATCCCACACTAGAGGTCCCCACAGGCCAGCAGAAACCCTTCCTGAAGGCCTGGGTGATGTAAGTGGACTTCTGAAGGAAAGAGGTGGGAGGTTCCCTTCCCAGTTTCACAAAGGCCTCATCTGTCCCTGCAGAAGCCTCGCACCTCACCTGCGAGGTCACAGAATCATCATCTATATCCCTTGGAAGGGCTCCTAGTCTCTTCACGACAGATGCTCTACCTCTTTTTCTCCAGCCGTAAAATCAGGCACCTTCCCTGAAGCTTCACCAAGCTCTCAGAGCAGATTGTAACATTAAACACCTGGGCTTAAATTGATGTTTCTCTGGTATGGTTGTCTGGTATGGTTGCTTATTCCTGAGTAGTTGGCCCATGTCCTCTGATGCTTCTCACATCTCCAGTGTGAATATGGTGTTCCCCCAGCCCCATCCCAGCAGGAAGAGCAGCAGGGCTGCCAGCATGCCAGCGAACCGTCCTTGCAGCCAGTGCATGGGTGGGATGGCAGTGTGGTTTTTCTGGCAAGACTCGGGCTTCTGCCCGCCCTGCTGGGTTTTATCAGTTGGTTCCCTTTGCAAGAGCACAACTTATCACCCTCAAACCCAGTGCAAAAACTGCAGGTGACTGCAGCTCCTGGCTGTGGCTTCCCCCTTTATCTCTGGTTATCAGCCAGAGCACAGAAAGACAGTAGTGAGGCTAAAAATACCCGGGGGAGCCCAGGTGCCCTCTTCCTGCAGTCTTGTGGCTGTTTGCAGCCTTCTGTTAGGCTGTGAAAATACACACCGGCATCCGCAGCTGCATGGGTGTCAGAAGTACATGCCACCTCATCCAGGAGGAAAGGATTGATTTAAAAAGAGGAACAAAGCCACACCTATTTTTTTTTTGCAGAGCTAACACATCCAGCCTTCTTCTGAGCTGGAGGGAATTGTTGCGCACACTATCAGATGGATGTCCTAAAAGAGCCAAGGGATTTAACGTGTTAATACTGCATGGGGTCAACCTGGAAGATTGAGCACAAATGGAGGAGAAGAGGCTATATTCATGCTTGTGCTTTCTCGCCATCCACTTTTCTGGCTCTCGCTCTGTCAACGCAGACACCAGTGATGTAACAGCAGCATCCCAGCCCCAGCTGCTTGAACCCCAGCAAGGCAGCAGGTAAGAGAAACCTCTCCCTTGGCTTTGGGGTATTTCTACTCATGCTTCTGTAGGGGAGGATGGTCTGGAGGCAGGGGAGGGGAAGCTGCCCCAGGAAGCAAAGCTACACCCATTGTCCAGGCAGGACACATCCATGCCAGGCCCCTCCTGCCTCTCAGGAGCCTCCTCCTTTGCCAGCCCACACTTGTGTTAGGGAAAGTAGCTTTCCTCCACAGCAGAAAATAGCTCCAGCTGTGGCAGATTTACAAGTGTCATGGCTCAGGCCATTCAGTCCCTCAGCTACTGCCCGTAAGATGCCTATATTCACCCTAGAGCTCACTCATAAATAAAACACGTCCATATCAAACTGCACTGAAGCTATATGAATGATGGGAAGCCAGGGAGACCTCACAGCCTGTGTCTGCCTTTCCAAGTGCATCACAGGGATGCATTGTAAAGGCTGCTTATCATTCATATAGCACATATGCACAATCAAAGCTAAAAATCAACTTTTAAACCCGGGCGATCCCTTTTCAAGAAGGGAAGGAGAGGAGAAAAGGGGGAGGTGCTGGGCTTTGCTAAGTTTCAGATGCACCATACAACTCTGCTGTGAATGGAAACAAGGCTGGCTGGAGGCTTCCTTGGAAGAAACAAAACCAGAGAGAAACCATAACATCTCCAAATGATGGTTTTATTTATTTCCAGAAATCCTCCAGTGATTCCCAGGCAATTTGAAATTAATTATAGGTGAAAAAAAAATTGTCAGAAGAGTTATTAAATAAAGTTCAGCAAGCCCAGGAAAGTTTACATTTGAAAAGAGCATACACTGAAGACAGGGAGTTCCCTGACAAAAATAAACTCAAGTAAGCTTCTTCCCCCCTCCTCAAAAGTGAAACAACTGTACTCATAGCTCTAAAGCACACCTTCTTAATTAGAATTAATTCTTCTTTTTTTTTCCACACAGTATCTAATTGTAAACCATAACTTAAACGGGGGAATTTAGGGTAGATATTAGGAAGAAGTTCTTTACTGTGAGGGTGGTGAGGCACTGGCACAGGTTGCCCAAAGAAGCTGTGGCTGCCCCATCCCTGGCAGTGTTCAAGGCCAAGTGGGATGTGACTTTGAGCAACCTGGTCTAGTGGAAGGTGTCCCTGCCCACGACAGGAGGGTTGGAACGAGATGATCTTTAAGGTCCCTTCCAACCCAAACCATCCTATGATTTTGTGTTTCTAATTGCCCAGAAGCCAGCTGTGCAAGTGGCGGGCCTGATAACACAGCTCTAGCCCTGCTCTGCTCCCAGCAAAACCAATGTGAGCAGAGCCCAGCCTGGCAAAAAGGGACTTGCCTGCTCACCAAGAACAGGGCTTCTCAACTGCCCATTGCCATTTATTTCTGGCATTCATTCTCTCAAGCCTTACTGCAACAGGACCACTATCACTTTCCACTGAGGTCCAGAAAGTTTTGGTAAAAGAGTATTTAAAATCTCCCCTCAGCTGCCTGTAACATGTATGTCACAGTGGCGCTGACCCAGCATCTGTCTGCTGTGTTCCTGATGACACCCATGCAAATGTGCCATGACATCCGAAATCAGTTGTATTTTACTCTCACTTTTGTCAGGGTGAAATCGGTGTGCTCAGCTCGCTCCCTGCAATGTCTGTACACCAATGCGCGCAGCATGGGAAATAAGCAGGAGGAGTTAGAAACTTGTGTTAAGTCAGGAGCTTATGACCTGGTGGCAATTACAGAGACGTGGTGGGACAGCTCACATGAGTGGAATATAGTCATGGAGGGCTATGTCCTTTTCAGGAAAGACAGGCCAGCCAGGCGGGGTGGTGGGGTTGCTCTTTATGTGCGAGAGCAGCTACAATGCGTTGAGTTCTGTCCGGGGACAGATGAGGAGCGAGTCGAGAGTCTGTGGGTGAGAATTAAGGGGCAGGCTGGCAGGGGCGATACTGTTGTGGGGGTCTGTTACAGGCCACCGGATCAGGGTGAGGAAGTTGACGAGGCCTTCTACAGGCAGCTGACAGCGGCCTCACGGTCACAGGCCGTGGTCGTCGTGGGGGATTTTAACT